CAGCATCTAAGACCAAGGTCGCTAAACGAGGGAGTGGTTGAGAGAGATCACCTGCAATGAGAAAGGCACACTGCTTGTTGGCATCATACATTTATCTTCTCCTGACCACAGACAGTGCAATGGTTTCAGCCTTTGCTCACACTACAACCACCTGTTCAATTTAAAAAACAATAAACAAAATTGCTCTCTCAATGATCCGTGGTGGTGCAGTGGGTTAGAACAGTGTGCTGCTAGCTGTAGGTTTGAACAGCCCAGACAGAGGAGGCTGGCTGCTTCCATCAAGAGTTAAAACCCAAAGGAGCATTCTCCTGTTACCTTGGGTTGCTGGGTCTGAATCCACAGGATGGCAATGGGTGAGTGGTACCCCTCACTCAGAGACCAGGCACTCTGTTGTCATGGGTAGTGCCTAGACAAGAGTTGTTTTTTAAAGCTCTCCAGGTAATTCTAATGGGCAGCCCTGTTGAGAAGTATGAATCATTCTCTCCCACCCCGTCACCCTGTTAACTTTTCCAAATACAATACAATTTACTATTTGCTTCAGAGCACTCCACCCAGCTTACTTTCCATTGGCCCACAAAAGTACTCAGCTTTTCTTTAACCTCTAAGGAAGTTAATACCACTATAGCTGCCCCTTTTAAGGTAACAACATGCTGCCAGCTTTTCTTTGACAAGGATGTACAGGAGGGAGGGGACAGGGACACCAGATAGCATGGAAAAGTCTGACAACCCCTTGTTTAAGCACCCATATACTCTGAGGTTTAACACAATGGGAAAAAGAAAGGTCCTACGAGTCCAGCTAGAGTCTAAGTGGCAGGCTATCAGACAAAGAGAGCTCACTTGTGTAGTTAATGAAAGCCTCCATAGCCATAATACTTGGTTAGGCGTATCTAACACAACTGGTGATACTGTGGTGAGAAACTCTACTGTCTTGTCATGGTGCTGTGAAAGCAATTATGCGTTGTTTTACCTTCTTAAGTCACCTGAATATAAGCTAACAGGTGCTAAGGAAGCCCAAGCATTACATAAGCATACCCAAAACAGCAACAAGGCTGGTCAGCTCGGACACCGAGCCACGCCAGCACGTTGCTGACAGTGGTGGGTGGGGCGTCTCACTCTGCCATTCACAGCCCAGCCCACTCACCCTATCTCCCAAATATTAACAAGTGCTCCAGAGTTCTGCGACTTGCTGGTGGTCCTAAAGGATGTCAAAGTTTGATGTAGCGTCTGTGCCAGAGTTCGCACGCAAATGACAGCGAGTAGAGCTGACTTCAAGTTGTCCAAAACTCTGGGCTTCTCTGAGAAACATTACAAAACTTCCTGCTTCCGGGTCACCCGATATTTGGTGCGAGCCTCCGCATTCCTTTCTTAGTCATGACCCTGGGTGAAAGCCCGCATCCCCTATTGTTTGAGCCAGACTGGAGGATGTACGGAGTCTTCTCAAACAGGATGTCACCACCACCCCCTTAGCCCCTCCCCCAGCCCATGTCCCCAGGGGGGAATTCAGATTCCACAGCACCCACAGACACCTGAGCAGAGAATGGCCATCGTGTGCGCTGTGTGTGTGTATTTGCTGAAAGTGTAAATGTAAACAGGATCTCCCTCTGCCCATTTTAATGACATGTTCGCCTATACGTTGCACCATAGCGATGACAGCGATGTGGCTCTGGTTCCACAGACACGAACTCTGAAGGCAACTGGGGTAAACGGGAAAACGCCAACCCCGCCCCCACGAGAGCGACCCTCTTTCCTGTCACTGGGGGTCTCTCTGGCCCAGACCTGGCCTCCAGGGCCCTATGTCCCCAGGCTGAGGCAAAGGAGGAGACAGCCAGCCACAGGGTAACTGGATGAGAAAACCTGGGGGCAGGCACCTCAAAAACTCGCGTCCTTCCACCACCCCAAAGCCGCAGGGCAGCCCGCGGAGCGGGCCCCCCGCAGGAACCTCCGCTCCGAAGGTCCGTCCCCCTGCCCGGGCCTGCCGGGCCTGCTGAAAGGGGCGTGTGGGGCCAGCAAGGGCAGACTCTGTCCCCACTTCGGAGACCGACGCAAATAAAGCAAGTTCTCACTTCCTGGTCGCCTGCTCTGCCCCCCGGCCGCCGACAGACGGCGGACCCCGGGAAGAAAAGGGGTGCCCGGGGTGATCGCGGGGCCCACCCAGCCCCGCAGCTCTCGCCCTCGCCCTCACCCTCCTCCCGGCCTTACACGGTGACGTGACCGGAGCCGCGGACCACCACCGGGTCCGGCGAGTACTTGAGCAGCTGCTCCTCCAAGGCCCGCTCCTCGTCCTCCTCCTCCTCGTAGATCTCGTCGAAATCCGCCATCCCGAGCCTCCCAGGCGCCCCCGGTCCACAGGGCCTGAGTCCGCGAGCTGGGTGGGGGTCCTGCCGCCGGGGGGGTGGGGGCTGAGGGGCGTCGCTGCCGCCGGCTCCGAGGCCGCGGAGTTGTTCGCCGCTGTCTCTCGAGTCGGACTACAGAGGAGCTCGGGTCTCGGCTGCCGCCATTACCCTCAGCAATAACAACAACACAATGTCAACATCCGCCCTCTCCCGGGCCGGCACCTCCACTAGCACTACCGCCGCCGCC